CTGGCACTTCATGGCACTTTATATGCCATTTAACTGCCAGGAATCACACAAAATGTTAACAGTGGTCCTCTCCCTGGGCAGTGATATTATTCATGATTGCTTTCTCTTCTTCCATGTACAGCTTCTGTGAGTGAAAAAGTAGGTGTCATTTCAACCAAAACTGACTGCCCTCTGTCCTCAGCCCCGCGGTCAGGATGTGCTCCGGAGAGCCGGGGCATGGGGCGGGGGAAATGTGGTGGAACCCTTGCTCACTCTCCTGGGGTCTCAGTGTCCTGCTTGGCAAAAAGAGGACTGGGCCCTTGGGTCCTTTCTGGCCCAGAAAGAGCCTGCACCCTGGGAAGGAGCATGGGCCACCAGAATTCGGGCAGGTTTGGGCCTGACCTGCTAGGTGGCTGGGTGACACAGTGCGTCCCCACAGGATTAAAACATTACACCCTTTTAGAGAGGGAGGGGTAGGAAGGCTGTGTACGGAGAGTGAGTGCCAAGGAAGTGGGGGTGGGGGCTGCCAAGGTGGAGGTTAGCACCTCCATCAGGTGGAGGTCCAGCTGGGACCCAGGGAGGGAGAGCAGAGTGTTGAGGACCCGGCCTGGGTGCGACTCTGTTCCTCCACGAACCATCTGTGGTCGCCGGGTTTCTGTTACTTCGTGTACAAAACGGGCCTCATCGTAGTACCTGCCTCAGAGGGTTGCTGAGGCTTCAGATAGATGACGGGGGTCAGGTGTTTAAAACAGTGCTACAGGGGTAATGTACGGATGTACTGAATCAGTGTTGTATGCCTTTAACTGATACAAAGTTTTATATCGGTTGTATTTTAATAACAACAAACAGTGCCCGACACCTGATAGGCAGCAAATCACTGCTGCTGCTGCCCATCCCTGCGCCTTTCTCTCTTCTTCCTCACCCCTGCCCTCTTCGCCTTCTCAGCCCTCCTCTTGCAGTCCTGTCCTCTCCCCTCCCTCTCCCCTCCCCGCTCCATCTCCCCTTTCTCCCTCTCCTTCCTTTAACCTCTCCTTCCCCTCCCCCTCTCCCTACAAAATTAGCTCTGGGTAAAAGGGGAAGATAATGTCCCTGCCCCTCCCGTTCATGCACCTTTGCCCCAGGGGCCCTCCCCCTGCCTGGAAGGCTCCCCACCCTGACTCCTTGTTAGGTAGGGCCTTCAGCCTGTAGAGCTCAGCCCTAGCTCTACTTCCTCCCCGCTCTCCCTGACCTCCCTGACCTCTGCCAAGTGTCACTCTGTCACCTGCTTTGCAACCAGTGATACAGTTACATTTTGATTGATTGATTGATTGATTTTAGAGAGAGAGAGAGAGAGAAACATCAATTTGTCATTCCACTTATTGATGCATTCAGTGGTTTATGCTTGTATGTGCCCTGACTGGGGATTGAACCTGCAACGCTGGCCTGTCAGGAAGCCACCCTTGTTGACTTCGTATGAGTTACTTAATGTCAGGGGACGCTGGGCCTGAGCTGCGGCCTCGCTGTGAGTGTGTGCACGGCTGTTTCAGAGATGAGAGTAGAGGTGAGAGTGACGATGGGGAGATTCTCGGCCTCTTTTCACAGAGTGTCAGGAGGAGAATTGGGTTGTGGGTGTTTAGCTAATAAACTGGCCTGCTGGCATCGAGTCCGAATTTTACAGGAAGAGCCACAGAGCTTTGATTTGACAGCTGTTCTTTTGTGAGGGAGGAGGCACCACGGTCCACTGTCCCAGGCCCCGGCTGCACACCAGTCCCTGGGGCACCCGTCCCTGGGGGGCGTCACGAACTGCTGATGCCTGCTCCCACTCCAGAGGCACCGATTTTGTGGGCCCGGGGCTTGGCCTGGGACTCGGGTGATTCCGACCCGCTCTGTGTCAGGAATGGGAAAGGGACTCTGACATGCAGATAATTATGTGGCTCTTTCCGGTTGTTGGAGCACAGAGGCTGGTATCCTGGGATGAGTTAGAGTTGGGTTAGAATAACTGAGGTTTGTTCGAAAGTAGGGGTAGCATTCTCCAGCATGTTGCTCTGCGCCTGCTTAGTCCCGGCGCCCTTCCGTTGTCACTCTGTCCTTCCGTTGTCAGCCTTGCTTCATCCCGCCAAACAAGCCACCTTGAGAACTGACTGCAGTTAAAGACTGTGAGGCCAAGAATGCAGTATTTCCCGGTTTTCAGATTTCTTCTAGATTCCTCTGATGTGTGCCGTCGTTTTTAAAAGGGCCCCTTATACCCTTACACAGTGTATCGTCATTAGCGAAGGAAAGGGAAGGAATTTTGTATTTGTTAAAAAACGTTTCTGTGATGAAAAGCTAGTCCTCTGTTTCTAGGAAATATTTATCAATTAATTTGCCGTAGAATCATCTCTTTGATAAGAACCATATGGTTTCACTCATCTGTGGGATGTAAAACTGAAAGCAACTGATGAAGAAACAAGTCAAATAAACAAAAACTCTCGGTCGCAGACCTCAGTGTGCTGGCTGCCAGAGGGGAGGGGCAGTGCCAGATGGGGGGGGGCGGGGGGACAGCACAGGGCGGAGAGGGTCAAATACGTGGTGACGACGAAGGCGGTTTCACTTGGTGGTAAGCACTCGATGTGATACCCAAATCATGCGTCGTGGGATTCTACACTCGAGACCTATGAATGTTATTTGTGTAACAGTGTAATCCCAATAAATTCAATTCAAAAAGCTTTTTAAAAAGGGCCAACAGATTATTATCTCTGTAATTATTGTAAATGGGTTACCATTTAAGCCTATCTTTTAGAATGTTACATGTTTTAAAATTATTTTTACTCTGTAGAAAAATGTCATGTGGTACACTTACACCATCTCTTTTGGGGAACGCTTTCGTCCTTAAATCGCTGTACTCCTACACTCTGAAGACATTTAGAACAAGGTTAGGCCTGCAGTAGAGCTGACAAGCTAACACAAGGAACACTGGTCTTTTGACAAAATATGTATGTAAATTTTGATATTGTATTAAAACCCTTTCAGGTCTGCATAAAATTGAGTATCAAGTATATGTGTTCATCTTGGCAATGGTAATAAATTATTTAATCTCAAAAACGTTTTCTTGAGAAAACTATGGAATAAAACTATAGTTTTTATAATCTCTAAATACGTTTTCTGAGAGGAGTTACTGCCATGTGCGACATGGGTGGATCTTGAGAATATCATGCTAAGTGCAATCAGACAGACAGAAATGGACAAGAACCGTAGGATTTCACATGTATGTGGGATTTAAAACTGAAAGCAACAAACGAACAAACCCAACACTTACAGACGCAGACCTGCGCGTGGTGGTTACCAGAGCGGGTGGAGGTGGAGGGAGGAAAAGCGGATGAGAGGGATCAGATGTATGGAGACAGGAGACTCAACTTCGGAGGGTGAGCACCCGGTGCGGTGTATAGATGGTGTGTCGTAAAATTGCACACTAAATATGTATCATCTACCAGTGTGATTTAATTTAAACTGCACTCATTCCACCGCACTAAGTTTAGTTTTAAAAGTTTTCTTTGGAAGGCTAGAGGTTACAACTGGTTGTAGAGTCTTGAACTGTTGTTTCACCCAACTGAGAATTCATTTCTTGTTGGGAAAAACGACTGCCCTGACACACAAATTCTCGAAGTGCTGTCCACTCTTCCAACATTTGCTCCTCACCAGGAAAGTTGTCTAAAAAACAAACTACGTCTCCCACTCAAAGTCCTGCAGTAGAAGCTTATTGGCTCAGCCAGGATCAGATGCCCATCCCCAGACCAATCAGTGGGCCCTCGGCCCACAGTGCACTCAACACGTTTGTGCAGTGGGCACAGGTGCCCAAGCCGACCACGGACACCTCTGTCGCAGCGACTAGCAGCAGACCACGGCCCTTGTCTTGAGGACTGGCATTAACTGGCTGGAACTCCTTTCTTCCCTTGTTGGAAAGCTGATGGGTGACTGATTCATTACCAGAATGTTCGGAGCGTAGAGATGCAGAAAATGGGAGCCGGGCCCTGGCAGGTGTAACTTAGTGGATTGAGCACCGGCCTGCAACTAAAAGGGTGATGGTTTGATTCCCCGTCAGGGCATATGCCTGGGCTGTGGGCCAGGTCCCCTGTTGGGGGCGTGCAAGAGGCAACCAGTGGATGTTTCTCTCCCTCTCTTTAAATAAAATCTTCTTCTTTTTTTTTTAAAAGAAAGAAAATGGAGCTTGTTGGGCTTGAGGCTGGCTGGATGTCTGCTGGCGGACTAAACTCTCAGGCCCCCAGAACCTGGGCTCTTACTCTGCTCCTGTTCCAGAACAGGAATCCACTCTGGTTCTTGTCTGTCCATTATGACTGCACCATGGGCCTCTCGCAGTTCTCCAGAACACAGTTTATTCTATGGTAGCAACATTCTTTTTTAAGAGACACCTATGCCAGAAATTTATTGCTCAATAAAATCTTGAGGTTGGCAGTCCGGAGCTGGCATGACAGCTCTACTGCATGGTGTTGATAATCCAGTTACTTCTCTTGTTACTTTGCTGTGTGTGATCTTGATGCCTAAATTCTCCTCATAGCCCAAGATGGCTGCTGGAGCCCCAACAATCACATTCTGTCTTCTAGCCCTAGCAAGAAAGAAAGGATTTTTAAAAAGGAGACAAAGGGCATCTGACAGTAGCTACATTTTAATCTCTCTGGATTTGAAATGCTGCCTGGGAATCTTAGCAAAGAACCTGTGTTATTTTTATGCCATCTTTTAGGTGGATTTCTCTTCTGCCTGTGATACTCTCTTCCAAGATAGGTTGGTGCTTCCTAGCTTCGAGGGGTGGTGCTTTTTGACCTTGTACCAAATTCTGGGGCATTCTTGATCACAAGGGTGGTATTTCCAGGTGAAAATAGTTAAATGTCACATGGCTCATGGCTGATACAACATCGCCTCATGAATTATAAACTCAGTGCTCGAATCAGAATCAGAATGCGAGACTTCCGAATTAGCATCTAGTGCATTTTCTCTGCTGCCCAAGTGAGTTTGACTTTTGTTTCCCTTTTCCACTGTTTCTTTTGCAGGGGTTCAGCTGTTGCAAAAATAATTGGTAATAATGTCAAAAAACTTCAGAAGTTTGCCTCCACGGTCAAGATGTGGGTCTTTGAAGAAACGGTTAATGGGAGGAAACTGACAGACATCATAAATAATGACCATGAAAATGTGAAATATCTCCCTGGACACAAGCTGCCAGAAAACGTGGTAAGGCTTAAGGATGAAGAGCATTATACATTCGGTTAATTCTGAAAGTTACTGTCTGCTGAGTCAGCGCTTGGGACTTGAGGAGCTACGAAGGCTACCTTCTTCTTCCCCTGTTCCTTTCACCCTTCAAGTTTTTTGCTTGGTCAGTTTTGGTTTCCCAGACTCTGAAATGGGCTTTGTTTTAGTTTACGAGGGCTGCCATAACCAAGTACAATAACCAGGTGGCTTAAACAGCAGAAATTTCTTTGGTCACAATGCTGGAGGCTTCAAGTCCAAGTTCAAGGTGTCAGCAGAGCTTCAGTTTCTTCCGAAGCTCTCTCCTTGACTTGTCGGTGGCCACCCTCTTCCTGTGTCTTCACGTGGTCTTCCTTCTGTGTGGTCCACGTCTTAATCTCCTCTTCTTATAAGGACATCAGTCATGTTGTATTAGGGCCCATCCAAGGACCTTGTTTTAAATAATGACCTCTGTGAGGATCCCATCTCCAAGTACAGTCCTGTTCTGAGGCACTGGATTGTGTATACATTTGGGGGAGAATACAGTTTGACTCACGACAGGTTACTTTCTTGGCCTTCAAAGTTCAGGTCACATCCAAGCCAGACTAACAATGTTGCCTTTGGCCGCCTGTGTACCCTGCTAACTCCTGATACGCTTTTTCTAAGTACGTGGACTTTGATCCACTCCCTGGGACACTTTGACCCTGGTCTGTAATTAAAATCAGGGTCAAGGCCGAAATTACAGAAGGAGATCAGAGGAAACAGAACATTGTAAGACTGCCAGCTTACAATTCAGGCTTCTTCGGTCTGGGAGGAGAAAATATTGGTTAGTACGTGGCCTCGTTCCAGTGGCTCGTGGGGGAAGGAAGAAGCGAGCACGGGGAACGAAAGGAGAGTAAAAGCACCCTGCTGCTCGTCTGAGTGGAGTCAGTGAACCTCGGTTGCCAGCTTCACCCCTTGGTAGCTTCTGTCTTTGTTGGAAAACCAAGGCTCGTGGCTGCTTCGTTCCCGTGGTTAACCAGAGACACTCGTCTCCTTTGTCAGCGAGATCCCCACCACTGTGTACATTCGCACACGGACTCACCCAGCCTTCACGAGCAGGTGCTGTGCTGCAGAGCACAGTGCTGGGATGCTGGAGGCGGGAGGAGGAACGAGATGCATGCAGGGGGACCGACAGTTAGTAAGCTGGTGAGTGCCGCAGCCCCAAAGACCTTGCTCACTGAAGATGTTTGTTTGGTTTTTGGTTACAGTGTCCATTAGTGTCAAGCACTAGGCTAAAGAGTCTGCATATGTTGTCTCGTGCCCTCAATGACCCTCCTCGGTTTGGTAAAGGACAGAATTCAACCAAGTAAACTTGAAGGTTGGATCGGCTTTATTAAGCTATTCATGAATTCCACCGAGCAACTAGAAGGGTGCTCGGAGGAATTGTACAGCATGGAAGGTTTTTATGGGCAGAGAGAGAGGGGGACAAGAAATGAAAAGAGTGGGGTATTTCAGGCGTGGTCACCTTCCTGTCGGGGAAGGCAGGTGGTCTCATCAGGCAGATTACCTCACTGGTGTGGATCAGGAAATCCAATTCAGAGTGATTGGTTTAAAAAATCCCACTCCTGGGAGAGGCTGAAACCTGCTTTTGGGTAAGTTGTTAAGGTTTGGTTTGGTGACCTGGCTTGGCCAAAGTGACTCCATTTTGGCTTGTTGTCTCTTTTCTTTTCTTTTTCAGCAGGTTGATACTATTAGTTTTCCTATTATGATACTGATTCTGGTTTTATAAGGGGAAGAAATTGAGGTCCAGAGAGGTTAATGAACTTGTCCAAGGCCACATAGCCAGAGGCATTTATTCCTGGTGACCGCATTCCTGCGTGTGCTGAATCTGTTGCCTTCTAGACAAGGATGGTTTTCTCTGTATCGTTGAGCTAAGGCCTGGCAGCATTTCCCCACTGTTATTCTTTTCTTTTTTCACTTATAGTTGACATTTAATATTAGTTTATATTAGTTTCAGGCCCACGGTTATTCCTCATGCTGTCAATGGGAAGAGAAAGGATCCCTAGGGTTCTGAGTTTGGAAGTTAAGTTGCCTGAATAGCTGTTGGAAAGCATAAAGGGAGCAGCTAGCGATTCCCACCGCAGTGCAAGGCCTCCTGTGTACCCGTTGGCTTGGACAAGTTACGGGTCATCTGTGGAGCGGGGGAGGGGCCGACCCCACCTGAATTGCGTGGTGAAGTGGAGAAGCCTTCTTTCCTGGCATTTGTGAGCCTAGCCTCAAACCGGGGGCTCTCTGGCTAAGGAAGGGGGTGGAGCAGGCATTGGGCATGAGCAAGCAGTCTCTCCTGGAGACCGTGTGCCCCTCTGTCCCCACCCGATGCCCTCACCTCTGCCTGAAGGGAAAATGTCATCGTAAGAGCTGACAGGTACTGGATGCATGCCAGGTGCCAGACAGCTTTCTGAAGCATTTATTCCTCCCAGCGGCACACCCGAAGTGCCTGCCCAAGGAGAGTTGACCGTGGGACTGTTTGCAGAGGCGTGGGCAGAGCGGGGAACAAAAGGCCTTGGCCGAGCGCCCGGAGATTAGCAGCAGCAGGAAGCCACGTCCACTCTGAAAGGGCGAAGGGGTGGACCGGTGTCACCACACCTGCCCGACAAGGACTCAGATGCTGAAGAGGGGCTGCCGGCAGGACGCGTAAGGGCAGAATGAGGCCGAGCCAGCACACCTGTGAGCCCGGGCGGGCATGGCCCAGGGGGCTGATGAGCACCCTGACCTGTGTCTCACCCCACCTTGGATCCCCGCCGGTGTCCTCCTTTGGCTGAAGCCAGCCGGAAGGCAGAGAGCCAGGGTGCCCAGAGGAAAACAGTCCCTATTGTGCAGCCCGCTGGGGAACACAGTGGGTCAGAGAAGGGCAGAACATGGACTGGGAGATTGGGAGAGCAGCAGAGAACAACCCGCAGAGTATTGTGATGACTCCGTTTTACAGATGAGGAAACTGAGGGCCACAAAAGGCAGGCGGAGGCTCCTGGCTTCGGATGCGAGCCGTGACTGAGGAAGGCGGTGCGCACCCCACGCTTCCCTTAGCTGTCTGCACAGTGCGGTCTGCACTCAGCAGGCGTGTGATCAAGTGCGGGGAAGGAGAGCATTTGGACCAGGACATGCTGGCACAGGAGTGAGTGTTTTCTTCTCCTCGCCGTGCAGGTGGCCGTCCCAAACCTCAGCGAGGCCGTGCAAGATGCAGACCTGCTGGTGTTCGTCATCCCCCACCAGTTCATCCACAGAATCTGTGACGAGCTCACCGGGAAGGTGCCCAAGCAAGCGCTGGGAATCACGCTCATCAAGGTGACTCACCCGCCACTGACCAGGGCACTGGTTCCCGGGAAGTTTCACTTCCTCTCACTTTCGTCTGTTGGAGATGAGGAAGTGAGGGGGCGGGTACGGAAGGTTTGGGGGTAATCACAACCATGCATCCCGGGAGCCCAGCTTAGCTCAAAGTTACGAGGAGACTGCTTTCTGTGGCAGGTGTGGTGGGGCGGGGGGCTCCACCTGCTGAGTCTTGCTGTCAGAAAGAACCTGTCCCCCCAGCCTGTGGGTCTCAGCTGGCATTCTCGAACTCACCAGTGCTTTGTGTGACCTCCTGCTCCTGGTGTTTTCCCTAAAGAGGGAGTTTCTAACTAGCAGTCCACGAACCAGTTCCAGAGATCCATAGACAGAATTCAGGAGGTTCGTGGTCTTCGATGTGGGGGGAAATTGCATTTTTATTAATTTTAAGCTCTAACTGAAATGAGCATTTCCTTCATTTACAAAGGAAGACCACAAGCCAGAATTCAGTAAGAGTGTATGAGCGGGCCCTGGGCCCTCCTGTCAGTAGAAGTCACAGACATATTCATGTTACGACATCGTCATTTGACGATGGCTTCTGATACCTCAAGTATCATTTATGCTCATCACTACTTTGAAATTGTGATAATTATTAGATCTGCTGTGACACCTTTTTCTAATTGCATTAATAAAACAGCACATATATTACTTTATCAAACATTTAGGGGTTTTGTGTTTTTTTTAGCATTTTGGTAGCTATAGATCAATATAATTAGCTTCCTGGGTAATCTTATGTATTTTGCTTTATGCATATGAAATTCTGAGAAGGAGTTCATACCCGTCACCAGCCTGACCCAGGAGAGGCCCACATCATGAAAAGGCTTAAGAACCCCCTAGAGAGACTCTGTTCCAGAGGTTCAGAGACAAATGTCTATGAAGGAAAGCTGGCAGGACTCCCGTGTCGGTCAGCAGCTGACTGCAGAAGCGAATGGACTGTTCGCTTTGGAATACTGCACACGGGAGTGAATGGGGGACAACGAGAGCATTCAGGGAGCCACGTGGGTGAATCTCTGAAACAACAACGTGGCAGAAGCAGCACGTCCCACATGAACAGCACGATTCCATTCATAGACTTTCACAAACAGGCGTGACTTAGTGTGTTGTTCAGGGACAGTCGTATGTTGCAAAATGATCCAGAAAGGCCAGGGAGCAGTGCGTGCAGAATTCAGGTTGGCGGATCCCCCTCCCCTGGGGGAGTGGACGAACCTGGGCGGGGTGGGGAGACGCAGGAGACTTCAGTCGTGTCAGGCACGGGCTGCTCCTTAACCTGGGTGGTCACACATCCAGGGTGGGGAGACGTGTTCGTTTTCTTTTCACTTTCTCATGATTCTTGAAACAGTACATACCCAGCACGTATGTTTTCTCTTAGAGGAGATATTTTTTAAGATGCGTGTGCCCTTGGATGTCTGAACCTAGACAACGTACAAAGCAGCCCTCCCAGACCTTCTGTTTCGGTGGTTTGTGTCTCCCTGACCCCCTGACCTCCTCGTAGGGCATCGACGAGGGCCCGGACGGGCTGAAGCTCATCTCTGACATCATCCGAGAGAAGATGGGCATCGACATCAGCGTGCTGATGGGAGCCAACATTGCCAACGAGGTGGCTGCCGGGAAGTTCTGTGAGACCACCATCGGTGAGTGCTGGCGGGCCCTGGGAGCCTGGGCCTTCGGTGCTTGCTTGCTTTTGTCCTTTTTGTTGAATTTATTGGGGTGACACTGGTCAGTCAACAAAATTAAACAGGTTTCAGGTGCACAGTTCCACAACACATCATTTATCCCCTATCCCCTCCTCCCCCTCCCCCATCAGTCCTCCCCCAGGCAGTCACTACATTGTTGACCCTGTCCGTGAGTTTTTCTCTTTTTCTTCTTCTTTTGCTCAATCCCTCCAGCCCTCCTCTCCCGCCTTCCTACCCGCACTCCCCACCGACCGCTCTCAGCCTGCGCTCTCTCTCTATGAGCCTGTCGCTGTTTTGCCTGTTATTTCATTTTGTCCTTTAGATTCCGCATATGACTGAAATCATATGATGCCTGTCTTTTCTCTGACTGGCTTATTTCACTTAGCATAATGCTTTCCATGTCCATCCGTGCTTTCACAAAGGGTAAGACTTCCTTCTTTTTTTATGGCTGAGTAATGTATATTTTCCATTTCTGATATTTCCTGTGGTGGACTCTTCCCTGCCCTCTTGACCTTCCGGAGGCGGACCTTTAGTGGGGTGGGGATTTTATGTAAGGAGGCCATTATGTGGACCTGAAGTGTCTTCAACAATCTCCGGATTGAAAGTAAAGCCAAGGAGACCATTTTCACTGGTCCTGATCCACTAACAAATGATCAAGGGTTAAACACACACACAAAATGCAAGGTTGCTTGTACCCAGAAACAGGTGGTCACATCCATGGTGGGCTCCCCTGGCCTTCCACACCCACCTTCTCTTTGCTCACAGACGCCAGTGATTCCAGTGAGACCTGAGAATTGGTGGGAATGGCCCCTGCTTTCAGGCGAAGAAGCTGCGCCTCAGGAGTTAGTCACCTGCCCCGAGGTCACACAGCTAACACAGAACCCAGGCATGAACTTGGGTCTCCTGTTTTCTGAAACAGAAAGTTCTTTCTAGTCTTATACAACATTGATGTTGTAAAAAATTTTGTTTCTCTTAAAAAGGGCTTTGGAATTTTCAACTGTCTCTGTACCATATTCAAGGACTCGTAGAAGGGTAATGTTCTTATATTTGCAGTTGTTTTGCAAGAGTTTATCTACATTTTTCTACTACTCCAGAACTGAGTTCCACCCTTGTCAAACACTCAAGTGGAGAGAACCATCTGTCCCTGGCAGACATAACAGGAAGCTCCGACTCCTGACTCAGATGGGAGGCTTGGGGGAGATGCAGCTCCTGATTCTCACACATGCCTGCAAATTAGGACAGTTTTACTTTTCTTTTGCATGTTTCCCAATTTTTACCTTTCTTTTGCATGTTTCCCAGTTATTTATTTACTTACTTATTTAAATCTTCACCCTAGGATATGTTTATTGATTTTAGAGGGAGGGGAAAAGAGAAGGGGGAGAAACAGAGACACATCGATGTGAGAGAGAAACATGGATTGGTTGCTTTTCTTACACGCCCCGACCGGGGATCGAACCCACGACCTCATGGTGTATGGGATGATGCTCCAACCCATTGAGCCACCTGGCTGGGGCTTTCCTTTATTTTTAATTACATAGATATTATGTCATTATTGTGGAAAACAGAATCAAAAGAAACCATTTTTATTATTTCATTTTTCTAGACAATTTACATTTGTAGTTTAGTCATGTATTGTTTTTATAATTGCTTTATTAATATATAGCAAACAACTTTCAAAGTCCAGCACACATCCTCCTAGCTGCCCAGCATCCCATCAACAATCCCATATGTGTGGACACTTAAAACCCCTTTCTTCAGACAGTATTTTTGGAGTGGAGAGGTATCACAAATAATATAAAGAAAGGAAAAAAATGGCCTGTAATACCATTCCCCATGTGGATAATTTTCAAAAGTGATATAAGCATGGGTAAGGAAATTCAAATAATATGAGAAGGTGTATAAAATTAGAATTAAAATGGTGATTTCCCACCGACTCCCTCTTCCTGAAGGAAATCACTGTTGGCAGTTTCTAAGTATCCTTTCAGAAAAAAATTTACATATATAGATATACTACTGTATTTATAGGTTTTATTTTTTCACAGTGAATTCTTTTATCCATCTGTGATTTTAATAAAGCCTAGGAAATTATCATGTAGCTCTGTTTTTCAAAAAAAATCGTTAACTAGTTGTTTCAGCTCAATCCTATTTGCTAGTAGTCAATGGGCAATCAGTTTTACCAATCGGTTGAAATTGACTGGTTACCCCAATCATTCCATAAAGCTGAGACCCCCTCTCCAATTCTTGACTGAAAACCTTGGGCCTACCTGTAGATTTTGGCGAAGCCTTGTACCTGCCTCCAAGCCCTGTTTGTTGTAGGAAAGTTTCCAGTGGGGCACATGAGGGTCTGTGGGTTTCTAAAAACAGACAGATGAATGCCTGGAGGTCACACCTCTCTCCCTGTGGCTTCTGTTTGCCCCGTGTTCCCACTGCCTTTGCTGTGGGTTAGACTGTGGTTACCGAGAGGAGAGTGACCTGAATTAAATTAAGCCATTGAAAGGAAGGTAGAATACGAAGATGATATTTGCTAAATTGTCTTACTTGACCTGAATTTAATCCTGAGAAAATGTCAGAAGGCCCACAGTAAGGGGCATGTCACAAAAGAACTGGCCACACTCTTCAAACGCCACTGTGACGGTGAAAGGCCTAATGGAGTGTCTCAGACCAGCGAGGTTTCGGGGAGTGAAGGACAGCATCGCCGTGATCGTGCAGATGGGAACATGGTTGTATGTTAGATCATTGTGTCAACACTCAATTCCCTGTATCTGATCATTGCGCTGTGCTTATTCAGGCGGCCTTTCTTGATGACATTAGCAACCAAGTCACTTTTAATTATGGTAGATTCAGGAATTTGAGCCCACTTGAGTCTTCCATAGAAGAAGGAAAAAGAAAAAATGGAATTGTTTTTAGTATCTTGTATAAATGCTAACTGGCATGGTGAACTATGGTGCCCCCTTGTGGTAAGAGTTCTCTTCATTCTTGGGACTGACCTCACAGAGGCCAAGACTTACTCAGTTGTCCCACAGGTCTTTTTCAAAGCCTGTTATGTGTCAGGTATGGCACTAAGTATGGCAGATACGTAAGTTCCTTGTGGCACTTCTAAGCACAGAAACAAATACAGAATCATAGGCCGAAATGGGAGGTTTGAAGAGTCTTATTAAAGTAAGAGGTTGATTCTCTCTCACCCTTGGCATGAAAGAGAAGGGGATTTTCCTGTCTCTTGGTTCGTGTGGAGTTTGGCAGAGCCCTCCCATGGGGCTGTTGGGCATGGCCTGTTCTGTACCAGGTGGTCTGGGCCCTTGCTTGTGACTGGTAATAACACGGTTCGTGTTTTTTATTTAATTATTTATTTTTAGAGCGAGGGGAAGGGAGGGAGGAAGAAAGAAAGGGAAAGATGTGCAAGAGAAACGTCCATCAGTTGCCTCTCGCACGCCCCCAACCAGGGACCTGGCCCACAACCCAGGCATGTGCCCTGACTGGGAATCGAACTGGTGACCTTCGTGTTCACAGCCAGCTCTCAGTCTACTGAGCCACACCAGCCAGGGTCATTAGTGTTTTCTTACCCATGATTTAAAATAGTTTTTTTGAAGTACCTTTGGGGAAAAGTGTTCCTTTCTGTAAATCAAGCTCACTGCTCTGGTGGACACTGGGAGTAATTGGCAGCCACGGAAGAACGGGCAGACCCCACTTTGTCTGAGTAGCGAATGGAGAATGTCCTTCTCCCTGCCTGTTTTCCAGATGGCCCACAGCGGCAGGCAGCTGGGATCAAGTCACCTGAGTGGGAGGCTTGTCTGTGACGCTCAGAAGCATCCTTGCTCTCGGGGGCACTGAGCGGTGGCCCAGGGCGAGAGACAGAGGAGAAGGACAGTAATGACGTCACGCTGTGCAGGCTGGGGGCCAGTTCACCCAGCCCTGGTGACGAGACGGTGTTGCATGGGGTCACCCAGATGCTCTGGTGGCTGTTGGAAAACGGAAGAGGACAGCTTGCTCAAACTGACACAGTTCCACTTGGCTAAAGAATAGATAAGAGCAAAGCTTGCAGGATAGAAAATGTGTTTCTAGGTGTTAGCTGTAGATATTTTAAACGTTTTATTGGGGGGAATCTCCTTGTAAACAAATAGGTACGACAGTCTCATGAACCCCGTGTTGCCCATGGCCTTCTTCAGTGAGGAGTAACCTCTGGCCATTCTCGTCTTATCTGTGTGTGTCCCCCTCCCGACCCCCCGGGTTGTTTTGACATGATATCACTTACAGGTGTAAGTTTAATGTTGACAATCATATTTTTTTCTGCACTGGAAGAACAGAACTCTGCTGTCACGTTTGTTTGGTTTTTGCTTGTTTATCTTCTCTTTCCCCACCCCCTGAGAAGCAGCGTAGCACACAGAGTCAGAGCTGTGGTCAGAATTTGGGCTCTGCCTCCTAGCAGCTGTGTGACTGTGGGCAAGTCGGTAAACCTCTCTGGGCCTCCTGCCTGGAAATGGGGGAAATTATAGTCATAAGCATGGTTAAATGTTACCTAGGCCATCATTATTATGTGGGACTTTGAGTGCTGATTATGACTGACAGCCTGTTTTGACACCTGACTCTTATGTAACCTCCCAACGGCCTTAAGAGCCTGAGAGTGCCGTAGTGTTTACTCATGAGGCTGCTGAGGCTAAAGCAGGCTAAGTCTGAGGTTCGCAAACTTGCCTGCCCGTTGGAATCGCCTGGGGAGCTTCAGAAACTACTGAGGCCTGCTCTACCCCAGAGCCTGACTTAACTGGCCTGGGATGTGACCTGGGCTTTGGTGTTCTTAAAGACCCCGAGGTGACTGAAGTGTGCAGACGAGGTCGGGCACAGGCGTGGGAACCTTGGGGCTGGCAGCGCCCAGATGCCCTAGTCCTCGGCCAGCTTCCTGCCACCTGCGTGGAGATGCTGACCGGGGAGCCAGGACTCGGCCCGTCAGTTTTACCATCCTGATTTCCGGGGCTGAGCCCCACCCCAGGCCCCCAACAACCAGAGCCCATTTCCCATCCGCTTGTATGTGTAAAGTTTGGTTTCTGTTTGTTTTTGGTTCTAACCCCGAATCCCCAAACAAAAGAAAAGTGCAAAAATGCTACTGAGTATCGCCATCTCATTGTAGGAACTGTCCCAATGGCAGGGCTCTAGCAGAAGCAGAGACAAGGACCCAGATGCGGAATGCTGTTTCTGCCTTCCACAGTTTAATCAGTGGAAAATATTCATCAACATTGTATCCGCTCTCTATTGCCATAGCGATACAAAGTAACAACAATCACAGAGTCTCAGTGGCATACAAAATGCGCACAGCTAACACATCTGTGGGGCCGCTGGGGGTCAGCAGATCTTGGCCAGGACAGCTGGGGTGGCTCTGCTCCTCCACGTGTCCGTCATCTCCCTGCTGGGCCCAGTGGGCTAGCCAGGGCATCCTTTTCTCACAGTCCAGGCAGAGGTACAAGGGACCAGCCCTGCTGCGCAGTGGACGTCAAGCTTCTGCTACATCGTGTATCATGTCTATTCATGTCCCTTTGACTGAAGGGAATCACCTGGCTAAGCCCAGGGGCGGTGGGGTGGGGAAATAGGCCCCCTCGCTGTGAGTCCAAGTAGGCAGCATCGTCAAGCCAAACATCCAGAGGGATGCACTCTTCTCCCCAGGAAACGGGGGTGAATGGTTTTTTGGAAGACTTTATTTATTTATTTTTATAGGGAAAGAGAGGGAGAGAAACATCAATCAGTTGCCTCTCATATGCCCTCAGCCAGGGACCTGGCCCACAGCCCAGGCATGTGCCCTGACTGGGAATCAAACCGGCAACCTTTTCATCTGCGGGAGGACACCCAACCCACAGAGCCACTCCAGTCAGGGCAGAGTGAATGATTCCGAACAATAATCTGTTACACTTGTAAACACAGAAATTGAAGTTGTGTGTTTATGGTAGCAAAAATTGCAACAATTTTAGATTGCAAACACTGGAAAGATACTTTGGTAAAATGTAACACATAGTCACAGCAACGGACAAAGCAGCCATTTGAAATGATGTAGAAAAAATACGCTGTCCTTGAAAATTAGTCATGCCATAAAAGGGGAGAAAGCAGATCGTGAAATCGGATATACGTTATGTTTCCAGTTTTGAGAACTATGTATATTCATATTTCAGCGAGTTAAGGATGTGTGCCAAGTTATTAGTGATCATCTGTGGTGAAATTCCGGCATATTTTTATCTTCTATTTCTGTTCTTACGAAATATCTAAATTTTCTAAAATGACCATATGCTACTTTTATTTATAATAAGAAAAAAACTCACCTTAAACTGTGTCAGGTGTGAAAATTAAGATTGGAGACTGTTGTGAACTTCCTTTTCTCCAACCTTCCAACAGGCAGCAAGGTCCTGGAGAACGGCCTCCTCTTCAAAGAGCTCCTGCAGACCCCCAACTTCCGAATCACGGTGGTCGACGACGCGGACACCGTTGAACTTTGTGGTGCTCTGAAGGTAAAGCCGGCGTGTGTTTCTGCTCCAGGGGAGGCGTTCAGCATGCATGGCCACCGTGGGCCCTCGGAATCTCGCCCTGGAGAAGGGGCCCTGTGTTCTGTGCACTCTCTTGGGCAAAGAACAGTGAACTGAGAGCCTTACACTTCCCTTCCTGCTTTGCCCTAGCCTTTCCCGGGTGGTTCGAGTTCCTCTCTGCCTTCGGTTTGCTTTTAGTTATGAATCTGGGACCCTTGCGGTGTCTTAGTCCTTTGGACACTTGGCAATGGTAAGATTTGGGAAGCATGGAGACTACGTCGGTTGTAGAGTTTTACCGGGGAGCAAAGGCTTCTAATTAATTCATATCTTTCTCCTGGCGTCTAAGCTTGAGTAGGAAAAGGAACTGTTTTCTCTGAATCGCGCTACTCTCTTGGTTTGATGGTCCTGTTGGTTGTTCTTGTTAAAGTTAAAGGAAAAAAGTCTGCTGCTGACAGAGGTTTTTTCCAGAATGGTTTTATCTCAGGAGAAAGATGCGATTAAAGAGGCAGCTCCTATTGGCCAGGGGCTCGGGAGGGTGAAATAAAAGGAAGTTTCCACACTCGGGCTCCTTCCTTGCCTCTGGCTGTGCGAGCCCAGGTCAAGGTCCCTGGCACTGTCCTGACTCTGGGAAACAGCCACCCGGGAGCTGGGCTGCTGAGTCATTTCTTTTGTGTCAAAGACTGCTTTTGAGGAATTGGAGCAGCTAGGGAAGAAGTTGGGTAATGGGGCACTCACCTCACTTGGTTAGGTAGGAATTGCAGAGGTTCAAAGAACACCTTCCCACCCTTTCTCTAAATTGAGTGTCTTGTTTAAGCATCAAAATTTAAAACTGCTTTCCAGAATTAATATTGTGTTGGGGGAGGGGGGCACATGTCCCTACAACCATGAAAATTTTAAACATTAAAGCCACTCGAAAACCTGGCCTCCCAGCCAACACTGTCCCTATTTCTAAGTGCTTGTGTGGGGCGTTCCTCACGTTGTAGGCAGGTCCTGTTCTGTGTTTGAGATGCTGGCTTTGGCTGCTTCGTTTATTTTTGTGGTTGGGATTTTTATGTGTTTTTAATAGGCCTTCATTAGTTTAATGACCACTCGACAGCAGGGGCATCCCGAATGCCTAATTGCTCAGCACCGGTCTGTGTCGCTCCAAAGCTGTTTCTAAATGGCTGGGTATTTTGGGATGTGGATGGGGGAGCTGCGAGAGCCTGCCCAGAAGAACAAAGGGTACCGCAGGAAAAGGTTCAGGATGGGCAGCTCTGGAAAGTCTCTGCTGATGGGACCCATGCTGGTCCTGCGCCTGAGCTTAGAATGGCTTTTCGTTTTCCTCGGCAGGAAGCCTGTGAGCGGATTGGTTCCTGCCACCACGACAGAGTGGTTCGTTGAGGGCGGAAGGGGGTGGGGGGTGAGAACCATTTACATCCTTCCCCTTGGCCATCCTCCAAAGCAGGATTAGTCACCGTCATTCCTGGCAGCTTGCGTCAGAGCTGGGATTTTTGAAAACCAAGAAACAGGCGTTTCGGCAGTAGTTGAGTCTAACCGTGCTGTCATTCAGATAAGGAGACAGATCCAGAAAGGGTCCGTGCCTCCGATGCGGCAGATACTGGCACAATCCTGGTGTCTGTGCCGGCTCCCAGGACCTTGGTCCCGTGTTCCCTGGTTGCCGCGTCCAACCTGACTTTTCTGGGTTGCGTCCGGGCAGTTGAGTGAAGCGCATCCTTGTCAGCACCTGCCAACAGCGTAGCAAAAAGTGTGTAAATCAACCCGTGTTATCCTTTGAATGGCCACTTTATCGGGGTTGAGTTTCTTTAACAGAGACCCAACATAATAGTGGCTGGACAGGTTAAAGCTTATTTCTTACGTAAAAATCCTGGGTCCATGTGACAACTCCGTTGCACAGAATCCTTAGGGCCCCTGGCTCCTGCCGGCTCGCGAGGGCGAGGCCCTTGTCCTCGAGACAGAGGAGGAACTGTCCCTCTACCGTTCTAGGTGCTTGTTGTGGCTGGTCTAGTCATTAAATTGACAGGAGCCAGATTTACAAGAAAAAAAATGACAGAACTTAATCACACGTGCCTGTCTGGGAAACCCCCCACCCAGGAGAGGTGCAGAGACCGGGAGGGAGGCGAGGTGTGCGTGACCGGCTGAACTAGTGATGCTGTGAGGCCCCGGGGCGTCCGAGGGGAAGAGGGCCGGTTACGGGGCTGGCAGCAGAGCAGATCTTCAGTAACTAGGTGTTCGCCCTGCTGTGTAGACGGGTCATGAAAACTTGTTTCTGGCAATCGATCTTATTAAATTTAAACCCCAATGTAACTTCTTTAAGGGAGACGAAAAGGTTTCTCTTGAGCCGGAAGGGTCTCAGTTGCCGTCAGCTCAAAATCATTCTCATGCCAAAGTGGCACGTCTTGGGGGGCCCTGTTCAGAACCCCTCGGTCCTCCCCATTTCTAAGACGGCGACCGGAGCTCCAACCATCTCCTCTGCCTTCCTGACGGCAGGGTTGAAGAAAAGGAGAAGAAGAAACCAACGGAGGACAAAGGCCACGAGGTGGCTGACTTTTAAGGCGGGTTCTGGGAAGTGGCAATGCAGTACTTGGCCTTCAACTCGAAGGGCAGTGCTTGACTGTGTGAGCACTCCTGGCTGCAGGGGAGGCTGGAAAATAGTTTCCCGTGGGCAGCCCTGCACTTGCATGAGAACCAGGGACCGTGTTACTCTGACAGCAGGGAGAACAGGTTGGGGGATAAACCCATCCCCTGAGCCACCTGATGCTCCTCTGCGGGGCTGTCTGTAGTGAGGGCGGCCACCGGGACTGCTGGGCGTGCAGGCTCCCTCCAGGTCCTGGCTTTGGTACCCCCTGCGGTGACGGCAGCCTTGTGCCTAGTCTCCAGCCTAGTCTCCAGCCGGGGGCGCTGCCAGACCCCATTAGCCATATATGGCTATTTGCATTGACATTCAAATTAAGTAAAACTTTAAAAAAAATTTAATTCACTTTCTGAGTCACAGTAGCCCCATTCCAAAGGCTCAGTAGCCATGTGTCTATCAGTGGCCAGTGGCTACTGGCCATTTTACTGGATAAGCAGATCTGAAGTGTTTACATCATTGCAGAAACTTGTGCTGGACAGTGCTACTCTGGCTAAGGCAGCTTCTTGCGGGATGCCAGGCCTGGTGGACAAAGTGTGGGCGTGAGCTCCGCCCTGTTTGACATCTCAGCCAGGCTGCCCTGTACACAGGGCCCCACCTGCGAACCGCACGTGGTGCCTCGCCTTGTAGTGAGCCCACGCTCTGCAGGCAGAGCTCCGTGGTGGGTCAGGCGCACTGGGCGCTGGCCTCTAGAAGAGGCGGCCAGCCGCATGTGGACTTACAGAAAATAGTGAATGCTCGCCTGGCTTCAGCGGGGCCTTTCTTCCCAGGTGGGGAGACTGTTGTCCTAACCTGCAGGTAGCCTGGGCTGCTTCTCCAGTTTCATATTCTTTTTGTGGGAGGATGGGAGTGGAAGGATCCGAGGCCCGCCCAACCCGCCCCAATTCAGAATTGCAAAGGTGGCACCTCGGAGTGGGTGAACACATCAAGTATCGCCATCACCCAGGCAATGGAGCAGGGCTTGAGCACGTCTGTCTTCTGAAAATCATGGTATTTTTAGCTCCAGAACAGTTTCAAGCAGATGTAAATGCATGGTGGATAATGACAACTTTCACAGCTGAGTGATCTCTGAGGACATCTGCTCAAATGCTATTCAAACACAGTCTGACTGGCTCAGAGTGTTTATTTTTCTTTTGACAGTGATGAGTGTCGGAGGGGGAGAGTGAGGATTTCAAGATCCATCATAAGATGATTAAACCGGGTTGGGGCCCAGGGTCCCCTCGGGTGGGAAGAGTTGACCCTGCAGTAGCCCCTGTTCCCCGCCCCCCACATGGGGAGGTTAGACGTCTGGTGGGGACTGTGAAGTGGTCCCAACCTGTGTGCCCTGCAGTGAAGGGGCCGAGAGGGTGGTCAGAGCCCCCAGGCATGGGCACCCTTACCTGCCTTTTCTCTGAGTGCAGTGACTTGAAAGCTCAGAAGCACTGCCTTGGATGAGCTCAGGGCTCATCCTTAGAGCTCCTGCTTGGATGCTTCCAGTGACTGACAGCTCACTCCTCTCTCTCTCTAAGTCTTTCCAGTTGCGTGGAGCCAGCTCTTCCTATCAGAAAGTTCTTATCTTGACTCTGAGGTGGCCGCTCTGTGCCTTTCACCCTGAGGCCCTAGAGCAGGGTGGTGTGACCCACTCCCTAGGGAGGAGTCAGGAGCCGGGTCTCCGGGTCAGAAACCCAGCTCTGCAGGGTGTGACTGCAGGACCCTGGGCTGCTCACCCTGGGTGCCTGAGTGTCCTCACTTCCTCCCCACGGTGCACAGGAAAGGGCTGCCTTGTAGGAATGTTGTGAAGATTAAACGCACCGATAATATACGAAGCACTTAGAACAGTTCAAGGAGGTTAACTTTTGTTGTTGGGTTTATTATTACCCCCCTATACATCTCTTCTCCCCCCGAGCCTACCCTTATTACCTCCCAAGCCTCCGTGAAGGCCAGGCAGGCACCCCCCTTTGACATCTAGTCACACAAGGTGCAGGAAGGCCTGTGACCCAGGGAGGAGCGGGTCGCCAGGCCAGAGGGGCCACGGTGTGGAAGCAGCCAGGCCTGGGGAGGGTGGGGCTGCGGAACCAGGCACTCGGCGCACTCGCGCACGTCCCAGCTGCACCACTCACCCGCAGGGTGTTCTCGGCCAGCCCCTGAACCTGGCGCAGCCAGCCGGGAGGATGGGCATGCACTGGTCAGAACTCCAGCGAGACAGCGCATGCCCTGGGCCCCGTGTGGTTCACAGAGTCACTCCCTGAGTAACCCCTCTCCCCTCTGTCCTGTTCTCTCCCATTCAGCCCATAGACATTTACTGGGCTTGGTTTGTCAGGTAACCTCCAGAAGGTGTCATGTGTGATGAAGGTGGGACACAGGGACACAGCCCCGGAGGCATCGGAGAGCGATTTCAGCAGTCTAACCATTCAGATCCTAGGCCTCATCACGTTGCCTTGGTAACATCAATAAACCATCCACCTCTTAAGTCTCTGCCCAGCACCCCATCTAAAAAAGGTCCCGAGTTCCCAGGGGCTGGACCGCCCTCCCCTCTGGAGCAGAGCTGCAGAGCCTGATCCCTCCTTGCCCCTTGGCAAGTCTCAGGGCCCCTTTCACCCTGCCCCCCACTCTCCTCCTCGCGGGATGCTGCCGGAAACCAAGCGCACCAAGCGCACCAAGCCAGGAATTGGCCACTTCCTCATCACTCTGCACCCACAGCAGGTGGTTGGGGACCGATGATCGCCGTCAGGGAGCTGATGACACCTTCAGGGGGCATCCCCGCGTGGCAGGGAGAGGGTGAGGAGCTTTTGCAGACACAGGCAGAAGTCAGTCTGAAAACATATGCGCCCTGGTTGGGCCTTAGTGCAGAAGACTGGGGTCCTTGTCGGCTCGACCTGCAGCTGCAGGAACCGGGCTCTGGACAGGGCCTGGCCTTTGCAGGGAGGAGGTGACTGCCTGGAAGCCACTTCACTGGTCTGCTGTAGCTCACAGCTGCACGGAGAGACCAGAACACAGAAATAGTTTGTTTGTCTACAACCTTCATGCATCCGTGTCAGCTTTCTGGTTATTTTTACAGTGTTTTTTTCTTTCTGTGTGGATAGCAATGAAAGGACTACCCACAGCCAAAGTAAGCTCTAGTGTGATTACCGAGGAGGAGAAGATACATTTGGGCCCTTTCCATTCTGACCCGCCGGCTCCTGTGGCCGCAGGGCGGGCAGGGCCTGTCTGTCCGAAGGAGACGAAGCCTCAGGAAAGCTCCTTAGATATTTCTCATCTGAAGTGGCTCTGTGGCTTTGGTCCCTTGGTGAGCCAGCGCCGTGTCGAAGTGGCCAGATCTCTTTCTGAGGCGAGCCTGGCCACACCAGCGCTGTGTCGGATGTGTTTTATCAAAAACTGCACATCAGCCGGAGGAGACATTTTCCTTCCCCAGGTCCTTGTGTTTTTCACCCCGTCCCTCTGATTTTAATAGGCCTGATGTTTAAAGAAATGTTCTCTTTCACTAATAAAACTTTCTTTTGGAGGAAAAAAACACGCATTTATCTTACTGTCACTGATTTCCCATTTGTTACCAACTAGCTTCGTGTTTCAATCTCTCTCGAGGCACAAATCCATGTATGGTCACCAGATGCGACAGAACAATGCTGGTGTAGTTAGAGTCAAAATACGTGCATTCTTCCTGGCATCACGCGTCCTTGATGAAGGAGCCGGTACAGTGGGAAGGGACCAGGACCCGGGGGCCCACCCGATGTCCCTGTGTCCCGAGGGCCCCTGTGCTGCCTGCTGTGTGGGCATGGCTCCTCATACGTGCTTGTTGGATTTGCATTTGACGTGAGGCCTGGCTCAGACACCGCCTGCTCTGCACAGGCTTCCCTGCTGGAAGTGAAGCTGCAGGCTCTCGGCGCCTCTCAGCACACTTCCGTCTTCATGCCCTGCGATGCGCCTCCTTACGTCTCTTGCCATCCAGGCTGTCAGCTCCTTGAGGAGGACGTCTGTGGCTGGAGCTGTCTTTGCAGCTCCACTCGGAGGATACACTTACGACTTGTGTGCTTTTCTTTGTGCACATTGTATATATTTCAGTGAGATATTTGATTGGAAAACAAACCCAAAAGGTAAAGCAGTTTATGCAGACAGCGTTGCACCGGAGACCACTATCAGTGCTCTCGTTTTCGGGCTCCTGCTCGTCCACCGCTGCCTCCCACTGACCCCAGGTCTGGGCCCCTGCACGGAACACAGTCCCTGCTTTTATCTCTCTCACTCATGGTCCAAGAGCAGGGCCGAGGGCTGTGCAGGAACCAGGGGTCCCTGTCCCGGCCTCGCCCCCGACCTGCCCCACATGCTCACCGCAGTGCGTGTGTGACGGCATCCTGGCTGCCTTGTCTCCTTCGCAGAACATCGTAGCCGTGGGAGCTGGGTTCTGCGACGGTCTCCGCAGCGGAGACAACACCAAAGCTGCCGTCATCCGCCTGGGACTCATGGAAATGATCGCCTTCGCCAAGATCTTCTGCAAGGGCCAGGTGTCCACAGCCACCTTCCTGGAGAGCTGCGGCGTGGCCGACCTGATCACCACCTGCTACGGCGGCCGGAACCGCAGGGTCGCCGAGGCCTTTGCCAAGACTGGAAAGGTAGCCCCTGGCCTGCCCTCCCCACAGCCCTCCCTCCCCCTTGAGACCCCTGGGCTGGGGTGAGAGGCAGTCCAGCAGAGATGGACTCCTTCCCCACTCTCCTCCTGAAATAAGTGATTCTCTAGGCTTTACCATCGATTTGTTCAAAAGATTATTTAGAGAGAGGGGAAGGGAGGGAGAAAGAAAGGAAAAGAAACATCAGTGTGTGGTTGCCTCTCTCATGCTCCCCACTGGGGACCTGGCCTGCAACCCAGGCATGTGCCCTCACTGGGAATCAAACCAGCGACCCTTTGGTTCACAGACTATCATTCTATCCACTGAGCCACACCAGCCAGGGCTGATTTTTTTTTCATTCTTTGTTAAGACCATTGAAGAGTTGGAGAAGGAGCTGCTAAACGGGCAGAAGCTCCAGGGGCCTCAGACCTCCGCTGAAGTGCACCGCATCCTCAAGCAGAAGGGGCTGCTGGACAAGTAAGTCACTGTTGCCTGTGAGACCAGAGAAATGGCGTCACCCTGCTTCTCTCGTGACCGCCAGCCCAGTCAGTGTCACGGGCACAGCTGTGTGATAAGTGTGCCAGAGCTCTGTGACATCAGTTCTGTCCTTTGTGTGGCATGCACATCTGTGGCAGGAAACGTCTGCCTACCCTGAAAATGGGTGTTTACACAAAACCCGAAACCAGCTTGACTTCAGGAAGAAGAGCTCAGTTCTTCTATTATACAATATGAAGTGTAAGATTCTGGTTTGTTTGGTAAGAGCTACTGTTTTAAGTTTCAAATTTAAAAACATATATTTGCTTTGCTGTTTTTATAAAAAGATAAGATCTTGTTAATAAGCTGCCAGACAATTCAGAATAGAAGGAAAGACACGTCTCCCCAGATTTTTACCACTAGCAATGGACTGACCTGTGTTGGATTTCAGTGAGCAACCTTTGCAGCCGGTCCTCATGTGGATGGACGGACGGATGCATGCATGCATGCATGCGTGTGTGCATCCAGCCTCCACCGCACTTCCAGGCCGGTCACATGTTCAGGTGGGCTGGGGTCAGCTTAATTTGCCACCCGACCGAGGAAGTCAGCCCCGTGGCACCACAAAAGCTGCCCGACCTCTCTGAGGCTGTTCCTGGCCCTTCATCTTGCTGATTTGTTGAGCCTTCCTCCATAATCGTGACGCCAGCTACACCACCTAGTAAATGCTTGTGCAGCGTATTCTGTGCATCCTTAGCTCTCTGTGGTACTCTCTGGGAGGGGAAGTCTGGTTGCCTGGGAGAGTAGGGAGCTGGGTTATGGGCAGCGCCTCTCTGGTCGCGTCTCCTTCCTCCTCTCCGGTCAGCCCAGGTGTCTCCTGCTCCCAGCCCGGCACCCTCCCCTCCCCCTGCTCTCCTCTTTTCTCCCAGTGCAGATGGACGAGCCACAACATTCCCTAAAGAAGGTGGAAAATGAGGGAGGACAGGGCATTTATCTTCCTTCTTTAATTTGCATTTTATTTTTCTGGAACGGTTTTCATAGCCGGCCAGGCAGGGGTGGAAGTCGTAAACAAGCCTCCGACGAGGGGAATTACCTTGAAATCGTGACCGAAACGAAAACACCTCTGACACGCACGGTCTTCTCACATATTTAACAGCAGACAGCGATGCATTCGTGTGTGGCTGGCCTACTTCCACAACCATTAAGTCTTTATCAGGAATGTGTTTAAAGTCTTTAAAAAAAAACAAACCTGGGTCTTTGGTGATGGTTAGTATCTGCCAATCACGGTTTTAAAGTGGCATCTGCGTGCTACCAAGGGGGGTGTCTGATAGGGCTTTATGAATCCACAAGGCGGCTGGCGGTCCGTACTTGTCATTTCACTTCGGGAGGATGCAGACCGGAGCCGGCCCTCCAGGACTGGGTCTGACCTGCCAGGGCTAGAGAGCAGGTGTCGGCAAGCAGGTGGAACGCGGCTCCGAGCAGACGCCTCTCCTCAGTCGTGTCCCGTTTTCTTCCTTCTGATGAGAAATCGAACAGGCTCTCTCTGTGCTTAACGAGCCTCCGAAGGGAGCACCCCACTTCTCCCAGGCCAGGCGGTAGAGCCCCGAGGGACTCCCCCGCCCCTGTGCCTGCCTCCCGCCCCTGCACAGGCAGAGCCGAGTTCTAACATTCTCCCTTTGTACCACCTCCTGCCTTGATTCTTTTCTCTTTTCCATTCCGGCTGTCACTATTGTGGTCCTCCTCTATTTCCCTTGCCCCTCCCTTCCCCGTTGCAAGGGAAAGAACAATGAGCAGGAGGCAGCATTCAAGGCCAACTTGTGCCTTACTAGCCGTGTGGTCGTACACAGGTCACATGTTTAGCTGTTCTGTGCTCCTGTCTCTTTATCCCCAAAAATCAAACGGGTAGACCAGATGGTTGCCCTGGGCCCAGCTCCTTTGAGTGGTCAAATGTGAGGCCCCTGCGGTCTGCAGCTCTGGGGTTGGCATGTGAGGCAGCCCCTGTCCGTGCAGTGCAGGCAGGCATACCTCGTTCTGTCACACCTCACAGACGGTGCCTCTTTCACAAACTGAAGGCAAGACCCTCCACCCGGAAAAAGATTTCTTTACTTGCTGTATTGCAATGCTTGCTTTATTGCAGTGGTCTGGAACCGAACCTGCAGTACTCTAAGGTATTCCAGTACCTACTTACCTTTCTCATAGCATGTGCCATTGTCCCCTACAACACCTTCCTGAGTTGAAACAGGCTTCCCTTTGCCCTGGACACCTCTTCTCAAACTCCTGTGTACACCGACCTGTCCTGTGTACATCCACTTGTCCTGCTGTTCGGCCTGCCTGACACCCTCTTTGACTTGCATCTCAGCCCGTATCACCCTGAAGGCAGGTCCGTCTTCAGAGAAGCCTTCTTTCACATCCTCCCACCACAAATAACGTCCCCTGCTTTGAGCTTACTGTTTACACCAGCAGTTAGCAGACTTTTCCTATAAAGAACCACATAATAAATATTTAGTCCTCGTAGGCCAAATACAGTTCTCTGTTGTTTATTCTTTTGTTTTTCTTTTTTTTGCTGCACAGCACCCCAAGGAGGGACTTCTTTGTAGGATGGGAGCTTTTCATCTTGGTTTGGGCCCCGCAGGGCTGGGGCCACAACCCGATCAAATACGATCGATGTGTAGACGGGAGGAGGCATGGGTGGACACGAACTTGCCTTGCGCCCCCGCACGTACACTCACATCCACGCGTCCACTCACACGCTTGGCCCACATGCACCGCCCACGCGAGGCACAGCACACAGTACCTCCCCCCAGGCTGCTCTCCCTCCCATCTTCTTTTTCTTTTACAGAACTTTGAAAATGTAAAAACCATTCTTAGCTTGCAGGGGATACAAAACCAGGCCACAGGCCAGACTCAGTTCTCGGGCTGTGGCTCCTGGGTTAGGCCGTAATGCTACTCAAGTGCTATTTCTTACTGCAGAAACACACAGTTTACTTTCACTCTTCAAATGTGGAGGGAGGGAGCACATCCTTGTGGTTAAGAAATGTCAGTCATATAAAACGGGCACAGGCGAGAAGTGAGTCTTCATCCCGCCCCCGCACAGCAGCGCTCCCGGGATGGGTATGCCATCCCGCCACCCTGTCACGGTGCGGTGGGTACGGGCCTCCACGGCCCCCTGCGTCTCCACTTTTCTTCTTTGTTTCTCCTTCAGAATACATTTGGAAGACCGTTTTATGTCTGCATCTAGAGACTTACTGGCTGTGGAACATTCCACTGTAGGGGAGAACCCATCTCCTCCTGACAGATAGTAACGTTGTCTGGGTTTTACTGCTGGTACAGAATTCGCTTTACCACATTCCCTCGTCCATGTGTGAGCGTAAGGCATTTGTGCTAGTTGGCCCGGGCTGCCGTAACAGAACACCAGGGCTTGCACAGTGGAAACGTCCCTCTCACAGTTCTGGAGGCTGGCAGTCTAAGAGCATGGTGTTGGCAGGGTTGTTGTGGAAGGGGCCCTGTCTTCAAGTACAGCCACAGTCTAGGCACAAGGGGGGAGGACTTCACTGTATAAGAGATACAAGTTAGCTCGTAACAACGTCGTAAGCTCTTTGAGGGCCGAGGCCCTCTTTACAGCACTGCACATTCCTGTACCTAGTTGATGCCGAACACATCATGAGTCCTCGGTATCCCTTGGTGGGATTGCTGACTGATTGGTTTATGTCAACATTTTTCTATGAAATACTGCCTTTGGTCCTCTTTTCACCTCTAACCTTATTTAGAGAGTTCCCCCAGACAGATCTAATTGGCCTTGTAGCATTTTGTATTGTAGAAGATTGCATTTGGATGGCCTTTCTCCTTACACTCCGTATCTCTAAGCATCCCATCAACAGAATGAGTTTTGGAAAGGCTGGCTGTGAAAGTGCTTTGGGCTGCAAGAGCAGTGCTCAGTTAAAAATGCCTTGAACAATAGGGTGATTTTTCTCACATAACAGAGTCTGAAAGTGGACAGTATATTGGTGTTGCCTTAGTGCCTCTGATTTACTCGTAGAATCTCAGTCATCCCGTTGTTCTTCTCTCAAAGCCTCAAGAGGGCTGCAGGAGCTCCAAGCATCACATACTCACACAGTTGCACTCAGCTGCAAGAGAAGTCTAGGGGAGCAGATTTTCCCCCCAGTGCCTGTCAAGGAGAGAAATACCTTCCCCAGAAACCCTCAACAGGTGTACATGTCTTGGTGGATAGAATTTGCTTACCTTGCTAGTTTTAGGTGAAAGAAAGGCTGAGAGAGTGAGCATTAGTCTATTTCCAACCTCAGTAAGGAGAAAGGAGGTTGGGAATGGTTTTAGGTAGCCACTTACTACCTGCCACCCTGCTTTGGGAACATATACAAGTCATTCTCATCCTAGGAACAAAAATGAAGCCATAGAAATACAGTGGAAGGGGCCAAAATCTCCAGGCTCTGGCCCCCACTCACAAGAATTCATTCAGCAAATATTCACGAGCACCAGCCCCTTGCTGCGCATTGTCAGGCCCTAGGAAGCAAAGGCGAACAGAACAGACTTGGCCCCTGTCCTCCTGGAGCTCACAGCCCAGGGCCTGGTGGCTGTCTGTGGCTGCATTTATAAGCTGTTTTTCATCACCCACCCACTGTGTGCCAAAGAGATTGTGAGACTTCCCAGGGCTAATAGGCTGCGGAGTTGGATTTGATTAAGTCTCTCTGACTCCTAAAGATAACAACACATTCTGAACCTTTAAAACCCCACAATGACAGGCTGTCATAAAGACACACGACCTAAGCTGTCATTACAGGATTCTCACTGGGTGGTTTTCAGGATGGCCTGTAACACTCTTGATCCTGTCAAGCTCGCTTTGGGCGGCGTGTGTGCATGCATGCTCGCGTGCAAAAAAGCCTGATTGAAATGAGCTTTATTTCCTCGGTGATACCTGCCATAATTCTTGCTGAGCCAGCTGTACCTGGGATAATGTTATGTTTTCTTACAGTGGATTATTAACCCACACTTTCACACCCTCTTCCATTTAAAACTTTCATTTATACGTGTTCACATCTTAAAAGAAAGGGCAAAATACATCCAGCCTCTGACATGAGACCGTGCTCTGCTAATTGTGGGTCCCCACGCTGATTCTCGCAGGAGTGTTCCAGGCTGAGTTATTTACGGTGATGTGTGGGCTGCCTCATCCTCATCCTTTCTGGAGAAGAGAGAGCAGTACCTCCTTGCAACTTAAAATTGACTCTCCGGTCTTTTAAAATAGAGACAGAAGCCCTCCCTGGCCAGGTGGTTCAGTTGGTTGGAGTGTCATCCTGTACACCCACCAAAAGGTTGTGGGTTTGGTTGTGGTTTTGATTCCCCATCAGGACACATACCTAGGTTGCGGGTTTGACCCCTGGTTGGGTCGTGAACGAGAAGCAACTGATCGACGTTTCCCTCTCATATCTCTATTTCTCTCCCTCTTTTCTCCCATCCTCTTTCTCTAAAATCAATAATAAAAAATGCCCTTGGGTCAGGATTAAAAAATAATAAATAACATAACATAAAATAGTGACAGAAACTTGGGCTCATTCTAGATTTGACCGAGAGCCCTAGCCACAGCTCCTCGTGTGAATGACTGCAGTGACCCCGTATGTTTACCACCTGACTCGTTTGTAGACGCGGCCCGCCAGTTAGGCAGAGGACGGTGTGGGTCGTACCGAGATGTTACGGCCACCAGGGCAGAGGCGCTCTGCACACCAGATAATAAAGGAATGTGGGAGGTGGTCCCCGGTAGCCCCCTAATGTGCAGTCCGTTATGTCAGGAAATCTGAATTCGTTGTACGAAGTAAGCCAGATGGCTTAACTGGTCTTTTCGCATTTGCCCCCTCCTAGGTTCCCACTGTTTACCGCAGTGTACCAGATCTGCTATGAAGGCAGGCCCGTTCAGGAGATGCTGTCTTGTCTGCAGTGCCATCCAGAGCACACATAAGGAGGATCGTGCGACGCGCCGGGCAGAGCCCTGCCTTTCCGATGAGTCTTTTGGGTTCGGATGGAAACTGGGACTCGGCAGCCAGATGTTTGCTGGCCTGTAACCCCATCATGGATGTGTATGAATTTTTACAGGCTCGCCTTTAGATTCCGAGAAGCAGATCATTGGCTAAGATGTACTGAGCAACTAGACGCACATATGTGAACACGTGGGTGTGTGTTCATTCCTCGTTCTGTGGGTGTTTTTATGAACCAAAATTAAAGGTCCTTTTTAAAAATTACTTTGAAACTTTCCCACTGTGGTAGCTTAGAAGGTTGGGACTATGTCAGCTAAATTTCTTAGATCTACTTCATTTGTCCTTGAGTGAAGGGATTTCCACACCCCCTCCCCGCCCCCCGCATTATCTGGATGTTAAAATTTAACCAGCATTAATAACGTGGTAGAATGGAAGCGCGAGTGTGTTCAAAGATCAACAGACTAACTTTTAAACATTCTCTCCAAGCCAGCATAATTAACGACTTTGATTGTGAGTTGACTTTTTTTGTTTGTTTGTTTTAAACAATCAGGTATTTTTAATTAGGTAATCCACTAGGTATCTTCCTCTCACTGAAGTTTTCTGCATTTTTAGCCTCTTTGCTCTCCATTAGCTGCTAGCGAGTGCTTTCACAAAGGGTCAGCTGCGGCAGAAGACAGAAATCTCGTCGGGGATTTCCCCGCTGTGGCTGACACATTGTGCTGATCGTGGAGGATGCTGTGTGTTAGCACTTTCGGGCAGGCCTTTCCTTTACGTTTCTCAGGTCCTCTGAGAGGGGGCGCTGTTATTCCTCTCAGAGGATGCTGTCTCTGTGCTTGGTTGCCTGGTAAGCAGGGACGCAGAACCAGGAGTCCAAGGTCCAGTGCTCCGCCACTCCACCAACGTGCCCTGAGACTTTCTCATGTGTCACCCGGCTGGTTAGGCCCCCAGCTAATTGGGTGTGGCCAGTGGCCCCATGCAACCCTTCCTGAGGCCACGAGAGGGCTTCCTGCCACTGGGGTTTGTGTGCGGCGCTGTCTAGACCAGCAGTTTTCAACCTTTTTCATCTCATGGCACATAAAAACAAAGGACTAAAATTCTGCAGCATACCAAAAAATATATTGTTTGGTGATTTGACAAAAAAAATGGGGGGGGCTATAGTCAGGTATTATATGTTTTTAAAAATTCTGGTGGCACACAGTTGAAAATTGCTGGTCTAGACTCAAAGTGTGTTCGTCACTGCACCCAGTGCAGGTCCCCAGGTCCCGCCGCAGACCTGTGAAGTGGGGTGCAGTGTCTGTGCTTCAACACACCTTCCAGGTGCTTCTGGCGTTCACCACGGTTTCGAAGCGCTGCTTTAGAAAATGTCCTTTAGAGTGGCATTTCTCAAACCGTGTGCCATAGGAAAGGAGGGTCCCGGGATCCAGTGGTGGGTGGTTCTGGGTGTTCCCTGGCAAGGTCACATGAGTTTGGGGAGAGCTGAATCTTGACGGTGTAGAATGTGTGTTAGCATGTCAGTAGGACCTGCTGATTTACCCTCGCCAGTTCCAAATACGTTAGATTAGGAAGATGTTTGTTTTAGCGAGGAAATTTGCCAAAGTGTCCAGGGGACACTGTTCTCACCTGAGGTGACCTTAAGATAACTCACATATACCCTTCCCTCCCTGCACGAAATTGGGGTAAGCACCTGTGGTCGTGTCAGGTCTCAGCTTTACGGTTCAGGTCTGCCGTGAAGCTTTGATGAAGCTTTAAGGTGACGCCCGCAGGAACAACCTCGCTGAAACGCACATTTTGGGGAATAAGTACTTTTACTTTAGAAACAGAACAGGAATGACTGCCCCTCCCCCAATGAGATTGGTGCCGGGGCTGCATTCCATGGCGCTTTTGATGAACTGTTAGGGAAACATGGATGTCACTGAGACATTCATGGATTTTCAGCCACTTTCTGAGATTTGACCTTCTTTATTTTCCGGTTTGGGATTTCTTTTCCCTATGTCTGCAATGGTTGTAGAATAGGTTTTTCTGGGAATTTTTAAAACTCTATCCAAAATGTCTTGGGGGCCTCATAAAGCCCCATCCACAGATGTATGTGAAGCACACAAAATGCTCCAAGTTTTATTGATTTTCGTGCCACCAATAAGTTAATCAACTTTTGCTTGTCTCACGATTAATCCTTTTCAAAGTTTGTATGTACCCAGGTAACAAAAGTGCTACTTTTAAGATGCATAAAGAACTGTAAGCTTCACATTGTGGTGTCTGTTAAGCAAGGTATCAGAGGTGAGGAACTCCCTCTTGTATGTTCTCATCTGCACTCAGCTTCCTGCCCCGGGTCCGTACTTGAGTGTTTTTTCTTTCCAAATGCTCTTACCACTCGGAAGTCTGCTGACTATACCTCTGGAACATACTTGTATTCTGCACATTATGGAAAAAGGCAAATTTTATTATAAGTTTGTGCTCCGCTGCCTGTAGATATTTATTACTCTATGAGTTATCTATTTTTGTAACCACCTGTGGTCTCTTGTACCTGACTGACTAACGATGATAACGGAGGGAGACGTCTGGAAGAGAAGCCCCATGTGTGCGTTTCAGCAGCTGCGAATGTAAAATCCACGCTGGTGCCTCACTGTAACCCGACCTGGGACAGTGCGGCACAGGTGCCTGTCTTGACATCGGTGGAGTTGAGCTAAACCCCTGCGGAGGTTATTGAACTGTTTAGCTGCGACAGGGCCCAGCGGCATGGGCCCAGGGAGTGGCGGGGCACCAGTGTACGAAGGGTTCTGCAGTTTTTCCATTCATTTTAATCTAAGAGCCTTTCACTTACATATGTACTGTATTTGTTTACGGACTATAGGTGGATATAATTTAAAAACTTGGTTTAATAAACATTTAACCCCCCTCCAAACCTGTGCTACTGATCTGGTCTTTTTAAAAAATCAGTTTCTAACTTTATTTAGGTCAGCTCTCTTTTCCTTCTGAATTGTACTGCATTAACAATAATAAAAAGGCAATTTTTGAAAGAAAGACTTCATCTCCAATTCCAGTCTTCAAATGCCTGTTTCCATTTGTCTGTGCTTCTTCCCGTTGCTTGCTGGGGTGGCATGGGGTGGTAAGACTGTGTAAATTTCAGGTGTACAATTCTGTAAGACGTCACCTGTACATTGCCTTGTGTGCTCACCACCCAAAGTCCATTCCCCTTCCATCACCATGTGTTTTACCCCCCGCCCTTAGCTTTCCCAGCCTCTCCCAACCCCTCTCCCCCCACCCTCAGTAACCACCATACTGTTGTCTGTGTCTGTGGGTTTTGTTTGTTTATGTTGTTTGTTCATTTGTTGCTTTCAGTTTTGTATCCCACCTATGAGCGCAGCCACGCAGTTCTTGTCCTTTCCCGTCTGGCTTAATTCACTTAGCATGGCACTCGCAAGATCCATCCATATGTCGTTGCAAAGGGCAGTGTCTCATCTTTTCTCGTGGCTGAGCAGTATTCCACTGTGTACACGTACCACGTGTTCTTTATCCGATCATCCGCCGAAGGACACTCGGGTTGTTTCCACGTCTGGGCCACCGTGAATAACGCTGCAAACGCATATACTTGTAGGGTGGACACCTTCCACTTCCAGCCAGCCAGTGGACTCATGACCTTGAAATCTACCCCAGCCCCACCCCAAATACTTAGAAAAGCCAGGAAAATATAACCAGTGTCTTTTTATATACAGGGCTATTCTCCGCTCTCCCCCCGCCCCAAATTTGAGTGAAATCCCCAGGAGCCCAAAACAAATAGGGGCATGACAGCCAGAGTAGCAAAGCCACAGTGTCTCTGTGGCTGCCGGCGCAGGAAGTGGGAATTCCCTCTACTGTCTAATGGCTCGGGTTGTAAAGATCATGCTGGACCTAGGACCCTACAAGGGCTACACTGTTGTGGACAAAATGGGGTAAGGAAACCCACATATAGGCTGAACAAGGAAGCTGGCATCCAGTCAGAGAAAAATGTCTCCTCTGAAAATATGCAATCATGAGCCCAGCACCACACACGGGCTTTGGGTTTGAATTTTTATATCCAGGAAACCACAGGCAAAAAGTTAGCATCAAAATTGGAACTTGGGCCAGTAATACCAGGACGTAGCTAGCAGATGCAAACACAAAAACACTACAGTAATCCATGCTGGAGGCAGGCTGCACAGACTTCCTGCGAATAAGGTCCCACCGAGTATGCACTTAAAACAAATAAAGTCATTACAAACTCATTATGAGTTTGTAAAAGAAAATGGAGGTTTCTATGAAAAACTGAGTTTGTGGAAAAAAATGGAATTTTTAAAACAAAAGAATTAAATGCCTAGGGTTTCAGATAATTAATGAAGCAATATGATAGATGCTATGAAAGGTAATTTTAAAAATAACAACAAAGGAAGATTAAAGTATTAAGGACAAATTGCTATGGGAAAAAAAACGACCCATCAGACTGATAAACAAGCCTGTTATAATATCTAGAAATGAACATAATTTTAATTATGTCATTAAAGAGCAATTATATATTAAAGAATATATTTGACAGAGCTGGAGATGAAATTAGCAAACTGGAAAATGGATCTGAATATATTAACAAAAGCAGCAAAGAAACTATTTGAGAACTTAAGAAGTAGAGGCTAGGGTAAAGAGACTGAGTATCCATCTGGCAGGAGATCCAGAAGAGAGAACCAAAGTTCTGACCAACACCTTTCCATTTCCCCCACCCCCACCCACTGGCAACACTGTTCTCTGCTCCTATGAGTTCACCTTCTTTGGATTCCACATATAAGTGAGATCTCAGGATTTATCTTCGTCTGGCTTATTTCACTTAGCATAACATCCTCTGGTTTCAGCCATGTTGTTACCTATGGTGGGGTTTCCTTTTCATGGAGGAGTAATATTCCATGTGTGTCAATAGGCCACATTCTACCCGTTTGTTCCTTGACAGACACGTAGGTTTTTTCCATATCTTGGCTGCTGTGCATGACGCTGTCGTGAACATGGGAGGGCAGACATCTCTTCAGGACTCCGATTTCATCTCCTTTGGATGTACACCCAGAAATGGGATCGCCGGGTCACATGGCAGCTGTGTTTTTCATTTTGGGGGGGAACTTCCATGCTCCTTTTCAGAGTAGCCGTACTACTTCACGTTCCCACCAACAGTGCACACGGTTCCCTTTCATCCACGCCTTTGCCGACACTTGTTCATCTCTTGTCTCTTATTAGACAACCAAATTGACAAATTACAGGGTGCATTATGTTTAATGACAAGCTACTTTCCCAGTGGCTCTGTTTCACTCTCATAGTATAAAATGCGGAGATGTTTCATTCCTTGGTTTTGGAAGGGGCGCTAAAGAGCCACTCCTTTGGACTTCAGCTAGACATGGTTTCCAGCGTGACAGCTGGCATGTGGACTTCGCTAAAATCTAACATTTCTAATCAGAAGCTTTTGAAACATTGGAGCCGTCTGGAGGACACTCCAGTGTTTAAAAAGCACATGTTCTAAGTCATGGACCTTGCTGGCATTAATTCTAGAGAAGGAGGGACAATTATGTACACAAAGTCTGGACTTAACCATTTAGCCCTGGGGAGGAAAAGAACAGACAGGCACCCACAGGGGTACCATCCGCATTCCAACACAGCCTCCTGTGTCCAAACGAGGGCTGCCAAAACAGACACAAAGCTGTGGTGACTAATCGGTAAATCCTCCCAAATCTCTTGGTATTTTTGCAAGTTCCATCTCTTGTCTGTAACTGCTCAAACACCTTTTTAGCAATGACTTAGGGTAAATTATCCTAGCTGCTGTAACAAATAACATTGAAATCTCAGTGGCATGATACAACAATTTTTATAGCTTCCATAGTCCAGTGTGGACTCAGAAGGTGGTGTTGTGGGGAGGGGGGATGCCTTTTCTCCATAGAGTCACATAGGAATCCAGGCTCCAAGAGGCTCTACCATATTCAACATACATATGGCTTCCAGGTCATCCTGGAAATTGATATCCACTCAGCACACAGGAGAAGAGGGAAGAATCGAACAGGACATAGCCCCTGGAAGTGATGTTTTTTCTTTCCCATGTCATTGGCCAGACCTGCTGGCAAGGCTGGGAAATGTAGTTTCACTGTGTATCTCAGAAGAAAAAAATTAATTTCATGGGCACACAGCATTATCTCTGCCACAAACAGCTATTAATATCTATCATCGTTTTTCTCCTTCAATATGTTGATTTCCTGCTTTTTACTGACCATCACAGTAATCCTATGAGCTAGACAGCACAGATATTATTCTCACTTGGCCCTGAGGAAAATAACCTTCAAAGAGGATCAGCTGACTTTGCTAAGTGACGAAAGGGACACTAACATGGTGAGGCAGGGGCCAGAACCTAAGTCTTGCCATGTTGCTACACCCCACCCAAGCCAAAGGTAGCCAAAGGTAACCAAAGGTAGCCAAAGGCTTGCTTCAGTAGCTCGACTCAATCACACCCTCAGTAAATGAGGAGAAAATGATGCTTACAGATTTTCATACAACTTCCTCAAAGACAGCTGTTCACCAGTGACTCAGTTTGTATGTAGTTGTAAAAAGTTATCAAGACTATCTGGCAAATTTTAATGGAAATATGTTAAGAGAATAATATAAAATTGATTGCATACAATTCTGGACAAATTTCAGCCTTTATTTTTTCAAAAATTGTCTCCTCTTCTCTTCTGCAACTCCTGCCAGATGTAATAGGTCATTTCTCTCTAGTTGTTTTCTGTATTTCTCTTATTAAAATAATTGCTAAAGCAAACATTAGTAAAAATTACACATGCATCTCTGCTCAGTTATGAGTAAATCTAGAAGATAAGATCCTACAAGTGGATATGCTGGATCACAGATAAGTGTGTTTTATGTTTTAACAGACACTGCAAAATTAACCTTCAAAAGGTGGCTGCAATGTACATTTCTGACCTCGATTTATTTTCCCAATTACTTCTATAACCTCTATTAGGATAGGGGTTCCTTTAAAATAATCAGAGACCCAAATCAAACCAATGCATTCAAGAGGTGTGAACCTAGTATCTGTCAAGAATTTAGAAGGGTATCCTAACAGTTCCACTGTAAAAAGTAAAATTTTATTATTCAAAGCTACAATTTTGTTAAAGCAGCCATCTTACTAATAGCTGTAATCGTTGGTGGTGCTGAAAGTTTACATAGGCACAAAAATGGGTCTTGTAAGGGAGATGTTTGCCAGGAATGTTGAAACAAGGAACATTATAATATGAAAAGAGAATACTACAAAATCACCATTTAAGCAAAACCCCAGACAGCTCTTAACAAAAACACAAGCTGACATGGGTTGGGTAAAACGTTTGTCTGAAGAAATTCCCTGTCCCCGGGAAGAAAACACAGTGACCTGTGACCCTCCTGTCCACTAGGGGTCACTCTTTGAGAAAGACTTTTTCTTAGGCAGTTGGCAACCTGCAAAGAAATGACGTCATTCTTACTGAGACTTTTCGGTCAAGTTTTTACTTCACGTGTTTCTTATACTAAGCTGAGTTTTTGCTTGGCAGCTGTCAAGAGTCTAGGTTTTATTTTGACTTTTTAATTCAACACCGACCACAGATTTTGATGTACGGTGATTTTACTCTCACTGTGCCCTCCATCCCCTGGGCAGACGTCCGTTGGGCTTGGCTGCGTCTGCGTCTTTTCCCTTCCTTGAGGCCGGGTGCCCATGCACGTCCATCTTCGCTGAGTCCCTGTGCTCTTCTCCCTCTCGCCCGGGCACAGACATTCTGACGAAATCACGCCACCACCTGCTGCTTTCTCTTCACTCTCAGGAGAGACTGCAGGAATGTCCCTGGGAAATACGACTTCTCAAGGAGGGAACTTTCAGGCTTTAAAGAAGTTCCAGCAAATAGGGTGATAGACATCGAAAATAAGAACCTCCACACATTCTCATTTTCCCTCTGGTTTCCCTGTTCTTTTAGAGACCAGTTTGCCGTGAAGCTAAGGAAGTTTAAGCTTCAAGATCCTGACTT